TGTATCATGGACAAAAACAAATTGTCTTTTAAAACATACAGAAGTATGACAAAAGGAGTGCAATATAAATTCTCATGTAAATATTTTTCCTCATTTCATCATTTGATGTCCTATGATATTTCATTGAAGCTATTTCACTGTATTCTTATAGATCATAGGAACTAGTTTGTTTGGTTTTTCTGAGTCTATCTAGAACAACCTGAGCTGAATAGAATACCCTTTTCTCATTACTTGTTTATATGTGGCCTTTGAGAATATTGTAGGCTTGTTCCCAACCTAACTTAAACTGTAATGCAAATCTGCTCATTTCAGTGGAACAGCCAAGTAGGACAGATCAAAATCAGACCCTCAACTGGAAAAAGATCCTAATCAAGCATTTTAATAAATGRTGATATTTGCACAAATGTTGAAAAAATCAGAACCATTGCCTGTAGGAGATGACACTGTAGAATTTTCCATTTTGTGCATTCTGAAGATACTGGAATCAAMTTTACTGCCCAGTGTGCTGGGCAGATATAAATAGGTATAAAGAAATACAACTTCCATTCTTGTAAAAGAAGAGGAATGGCTAYAATGCCAGAAGATCAGCCATACTGAAGGTTCAAAACTAGGCTTTTTAGTCTTTTAAAGATACCGTATAATTAAAAGTGTCTGAGGACCTTGCATAAACTTAGGGCATGATGAATTACTAATGTGACTTAGATCACTAAAGGCAGTGGAACTTCTCATGAAAATATTTGTGTTCTATTTTTAATTGATTACTTATTTATGTATAAATGAGCAAAGAGAAACCAGTGAGTTGAATTATGTAGCAGGAGTAGAACATAATAATGAAAAATTGTAACACTGTTGCTATTTTTCTTCCAACACCTGTTGTTTCACGTTTTATTCCACCCACCATTGTAAATTAATATTGGTGTCATAAATTAGAGGACAAAAAGTGAAGTGCAACAGAAATAGGTTTGGTGAATAAAAAGGCAGCTCTGTCAGGCAAAATACTATGCAATGCTGTGTAAAATACAACTAGTAGGRATACCTGAGTCACCTCCCTTTTACTTCATTTTGAATTTGATATTTTCTTTTCTCCTTCAGGAAAGCTGGAGGTTTGTATTGTTTAGGCTAAAATGCTGGTGAAGAAAGCCATACTGAGGAAGAGGAGAGGCTTTGATTCAGCTTTTGTGTCTGGTGGGAACATTTTCTCAAAATGTAGGTGCTATTTCCTGTAATCAAGGGCTTTCCAGAGCCTGATAATAATTTCCCAGCTGTATCATTTTGGTGAATTATTTTTTAGCCTTGGGTTATTTCATGACTGGTTTTGCATATTAAGAATGGGAGAGGAGATCRTATTCATCTTGATGATAGAAAACAGGGAATAGAACTCCCACAGCTCCCTCTCTCTTTCCCTCCACCTTGTGGAAAGTTTGGCTTTGTGTTAAAGCATGAAAAAAGCCTTGACTGCAGTGTGTCAGRCATATTTCAGCTCGATTTGTGTCAACCCTAATAAGTCAGCTGACAAGGTAATAAATTGGGTGTCTGTTCCAAGAGCTGGCACCTGTACAGGAAATAAAAGGGGATTTCAGTTGCAGCAGATTTGCTTTGTTTTACAAATGGAACTTTTCACAAGGCTCCTCTACCTCCTTCCCCCCTTCTCCTCTTTGCTGAAATCATGTTATCAAAATGTTTATTTCAATTGTGACTGGAGCCAGTTTTTCATCTGGAAAAGAAAGCTCTATGAGTATCCTTGGAAATGGAAATCCKTATGCTTTCCACTCTGAAACAAAACCTTACAGACCATTTAATTATTCATGTATCCTGCTGTTAYAGAAATGGTCTGAATAATTTCAAATTATTGAGAAACTGCCTTTGTTCAACGTTTTGAAACTTTACATTCATATAGTTTGAATAAGGCTAGGAAAACAGAATTTATTTAACCCAGGGAAACTGTATTAGTAATATCTCACTATTTTTAATGATAATATAACCTTGTGACCAGGGTGTCTTAACATGCTTCCCTCTGTGCTTGACCTCCAAGGATGCAAGTCTGTTACAACCCTTGAGAGCAGAGCTTTTGTAGGTCCAGCTGTAGGGTTGTGTTTTTAGCTCAGGGGCACCAGGTCAGTTCCCAGTGTGATGTGAGGTGGTGACTGTAATAGCAGTGAGAGCTGAGGCAGTTTCCTTGGAGTATTCACTTTTGATACACAGATCTTCCTTCATGTTTGGAAAAGCGAAAACAGCTCATGTCCCTGAAACTTTTCATTTTGGTGACTATCCTGGGCACCATGGAAGAAGTTTCCTAAAAGGTGTGGTTTCAGGCTCARTGGCTGGAGGAAACAAAACAGGACCTTGTATTCTTTGTAATGGGCAGCTGCCTTTTCTTCCAATTGAATTTCCTCCACCTTTTCCCTCCTTCATTATCCCATTGGGATSTAGCATAAGTAGATCTTCATTTCCACATGGAGAGTTCATCTCYCAGAATTTCCTTCTTGGACTTTTTTAATTAGAGGAAGTGATAATCTARCCCAATGGAAGGTGAAGGGGAAATGGTTTATTAAAAACAAATATTATTGCCATTGATTAAAGTATGTATGACCTTTAGAAACAGGGAGACAAGAACTCTCAAAGTCAAAACAGTTGCCTAAGTGCACTTTGCACATAACAAGAAAATTTTCAGCAGCAATGTTCAAAATCTAAGAAGATAAATCTGTGGAATGTGTATAATAAGGTTTTCTATACAGTCTGTCTGTTTTAGGATTTATTAGTCTTTATGCAGAGAATTGGACTAGATGACATAAGTCTTGCCTATCTACATCGGTCACATTTATGGTTATAACATTTAAATGAGGAAAAAGGTTTTCTTAAGTTCTCTTAGTATTTTCAAGAAGTGAGAAATGAACTTGAGGAAAAAAAATGGGGAATATAAACCTTCAAAACTCCAAGTGAACTTTCACAATTGTAACTGMATGCAAGCTCTGGTCTTTCCTGTCTATCGCACTGTAAATTTAAAAAAAAAATACTTAGTTAAGCAACTCTTCTTTCTCCAGCACGGCCTAGTAATATGATGGTTTACTCTAAATTAATTACTGTAATCAGCTAACGCTATGTACTGTAGAGTTGTGATTCAAGCATGAAGGAAAGAATGTACAGAAAAGTGCATRTATAAAAAATGTGTTGCAGGGTTAGCTCAAGGTTTATACCTTGGCCTCAGCCTGTGGAAAAAAAAAAAAAAAAGGACTCGAGGGTGAAATACTGAAAGCTGATCAAAAATGGAGGAAATGTTCCAGGTCACATATCTTTGGATGTACTGCAAAGGTATTATATGTTAATAAAAGCAAAAGAATAAAGTAAGAAAACAGTGCTTAATAATAACTGATGCTCTATGTTGCAAGAGGTGTTTTAAATTTCCTGGTTGTTGAAAAGATGTTAAGAAATGCCCATTTCTTTGTGTTTGAGTAATATMAGCTCCCTTCTGACCTGTTGTGAAGTGGATTGAGAATTTATACTGAACTTTACAGATTCCTCATGAGGTGAATTGCAAAAATCTGCTTGGACACATATAATCTTCTTTAAAAATATTTATAGAACACAGCTCTTATGAAAATTAAACATGTTCCAGGTGTGTATGGTCCACCTTCTGGGCATAGCCAAATTATTTTTGAAGTGGTAGATACACCTGTCCTTGCTAGTCAAGAGAAATTCTTCATGGTCAAGCTGCTGAAGTGAAATGAAATTCCATGAGGTTTGTTGTGTCTTGGTTTAATTCAAGAGAAAAACTGGTATGATTATAGTGAAGGTGGGAATGAGTTGTAGGTAAGATGTGCACCTGGCTGTGAAAAACATATTAGTTCTTTTCTTCCCAAGCAACAGATATTTGCAGTGCTTCAGCTCTCAGGATCAAATCTTGGATGTGATACTATTATGCTTGCAGGGTGTTATTGGGAGCTTGGGGTTTTCAGGTGACTTTTTTCCTCATTAATAGTGGAAGTAGCACCATAGAAGCTCAAGGTGTTTTCTTCTAGCTTTATTCAAAACACTTACAGGCAGAGGTGCTAATGACAGGAGTATAAAAGCTCTGAATGGATGTCTTTGCAAAAAATGGAGGTGACTGCAAAATTCAGCTACAGTTGATGGCTTGCGAGCTGAAACAACCGTGTTTGCTGAGCTTCCGTTCTGTTTCAGTGCAGCTGCCCAAAAGGACAGGGCATGGCCAGMCTGTTTTCAGGGATGTTTTCCAGATGTGTGAAAAAAGTCTTTAAAGGGGAAGAAGTATATATCCTTTTCTAGTTTTGCAGATTCAAGTATTTTTGTAGCTGTGCTTGTAAACTATATCAAAAGTTATCTAGCTGAATAAAAAAAAATAAAAAAAAGCAAAAAGGGAGAGCACTGAAAGAAATACTTCTGAGAAGTAGTACTGAGGCAAGAATGAGCAAATGTGGACAGAGATGCAGGGAGAGTCTTTCAGCTGATTGCTGAATATAAGGTGAATTTCCAGATGAGACTAAAGTGAAAGAGAGATGTTGGTCTGTCCTTCGGCTGAGATTTTGCATGGCTGTGACACCTTTGTGCAGTATTTCTRTTCAAGTACTGTTCTTTCTTATGATGGAAGCAGTCAAGGTATTTTACACATTAGTGTTTTGGCATAATTGCTGCTACACTTCAGTCACTTCAGACTTACTAGTTAGCAACTATGGGTTTCTTCCAGATTTAGGAAAACAGGAACACCATGACACCTGCAGAGCACAGAAGTATTTCAGTCTTTGAGCATGCTTAAAGCCACAACAGAGGTGGTGAGTGGGTGAGAGTTGGTTTTAGAAACCTTGTAGACATTAAGCAAAGGTTCCACTGAAGTCAGTAGTAGTATCACTTGACAGAGGTCGAAGAACTTGGAGACTGGTTTTATGTGTTGTGAAAAGACTCCCAGCTGGTAAATTGTAAATATAGAAAAGGTTCTGAAATTAAAACTGACAGAATTACTGATAAAAATTTCTGGATCTCTATTTCAGTGTTTTATTCAGAAGTATTGACTTAATTAGTTACATATACGTATGGAATAACTACAGACTGTTTGAACTGCCCTGGGACTCACCATGGACATGGTATTTGACACTTCTGGGAGTGGACTTGGCATACTACTGCTTTCATCGCATAAGCCATGGTAAGACTTAACAAGTTTGTTCTTTTTCTCATGTTTTAAAATACAAAATGCATTAGTTATCTATTAATAAAGTGAGGCATTTATTTTTGTTTCTATACTTAATCTACTCTAAGCATAGATAACTACTCTTCTTCCCAAGGGTTAGCAAAGGTATACTTCAAGCACGGAAAACAATTTATGCATCATACACTATACAGTAAACATGATTTTGTGAATGGAAGGAGTATAATTTTGAAAGCAGTACAACAGAGAAAATGGAGCATTGTAAAAAAATAGTAAGGAAAGAAATGGTGCATAAAAATTTGTGTTCAATATCCCCATAAGCCTGTATGAAAAATACAGCAAAGTATGGATAACTGAATCAAAAGAATATGGTGGATGCACAAAATRCAGAGCAGTAAAAAGAAAGGTGGCCAAAATAATGGAGCCTGTGTAAATCATGTCAGTAATTTTTGTACATATCTGTCTGTCTCTCTGTGTATTTCTGTTCTCTAGTGACAACAAATAATAGCTCTAGCCTTTGATACCCTATCTGAAAATGCAGTAACACTTTGTATCAATCCTAGTTCTGGGCCTRATCTAAAGTCTGTAGCAATGGAATAAGAATCTTCTTGTACTTTAAGAGACTTTGGACTGGGCTTCTCAGAGCRAGTGCCCACAGCTCGCAGAAGCTGTGGGATGTAGTAATGATGCCTTATGTAATGTGCTTTCAGAGAGGGAAAATGCTCTGCTGCCAATAGGTCAGTGGAATATATGGAAGTAGGTAAGAAAGGAGACTGAGCTGCTGCAAGGAATGGGAGAGAGGAAGGGTCCCTCCCAGGTGGGGATGGCAGGCAAGTGTGAGAACAATGCAGGGTGGGTGTAAGGGGACAACAATGGTGGGGGACTGGGCGGGAGGTGAGGAAGCAGGGGGAGCTGGAACAATGTGTCGAGGGGGACATCACGGCCGGGAGCTGGGAGCCCTGCGTGGGTGTACGGAGACTGGGAATACTCTTCACAAACAATGACATTAACAGTGTTGGCAGGGCTACAGCCTCAGGCTGAGAACTGGACCAGAGCAGGAGGMTAGTCCTGTGTTTTTAAAATAAAAATAATTGTCTTCAAGTCTTAGAAAATCACTAGCTTGGCTGTACTTTCTCTGGAGTCAGTGGTAAAATTCCCACTGGCAGAGAAGGGAACGGGGTCATCTCTGCACTCTCTAAAGCAAAGGATATATTTCTGTTCCTGCAGGAACCTTGCATTTACTCTTCTCTGTTTTTCTGTGTTTTTGATGGAATACTTTGAAATTAATCTCAATAAATGTTTTAGAATTAAAATACAAACTAATTCTATATATAATGGAGTTGAAGAAACTGTAAGAAAATGCTGCTCTTCTCTTAAGAAGGTCAGTGCTGAGCTATTCTATAAATTTTGATTTACTCTTCTTCACGTTACAGAAATATTGTTTGCCGTTAGATCTGTGCTACTTAGCAGGGAACTGATGAAGCAATGTAGAAATAGACTCTTAACTGCAGACTTTAGTTTAACCAACACTTCTTTGGTCAAACAATGATGAAATCTGTAGCACGGCTACACAGCTGCGAAAGTCAGCTGCATTGGAAGTTTCTGAGGAATTTTAAGTGTAGGAGATGGTTTTAAAAAGTCATGAAAAATATCTTTGCAAATGGAGAAGAAAGGGTGCTGGGAAAGTCTCTGGTACGAGCAGACAAAACACACTTTTGCACTAGAAAGTGACAGGGCCTGGTGATTCAGGCTTGGATCCTGCAGCAAAGTTAAAAATTAATAGCATGTGTATATCCCAGGAAATTCAAGCTGTGTGGGCTTGATGCATGGGGATGTAAATAATAGCACTAATTGTTTCAAACTGAAAAACTAAAATTCAGATACATTTTTCAGTTGTTTCTTAGTACTTGATATAATTTTGATCCAAAGAATTATCATCATCATGTAGCTTTACCTCGCTGCAAGCAATAATTTGGTAACTCAGTCCTCTGGCTTTTTAGTACCTTATTTCATGTTGTCCATGCATAGCTAGATTTTTCATTCTACTATTTCATAAATTGTCTTGAATCACTACAGATTTTAGTTTCTTCTGTAGCAGAAACTCTACTATGTAACATAAAATTTTTATCCAGCATTTGAGGAGATATTTTTTCCTCTTCACTATATGCATGTAATAGCTATTAYCCTAAACTGAAGTTATACTGCAACAAAAGGAAGTATTTTTAGGTGTGATCTCATTTTGCGAAGGATAGAGTTATTCTAAGTATGTGCTTGTATTTTCCATTGTTTGCAGTAGCCACTGAAAGGTTAGAATGCTTCACCACTTATTCCAGCRTTCTTCTGGGTCTGATCCAAAAGCCATGGCAGTCAACCGGTCTACTTAGCCACTGCACTTTTTTGTGGCATTTTAATGAATTTATAAATCAATGTAACTTTTCCCTTTGTTTCACTAAAAACATCCCTTACGGCTGTACTGCTAAGAAAAGCGTGCTGTAGACTCACAGGTTTCAAGTATTTTTTTTTTTTTTAGGGAAGGATATGTGTGGGTTTGAGGATTTTTACCATGTATTTTCGCCTAGCATATATGGATAGCTCCTCAAGTTTCCTCTCCAGGTGCARAGACCTTGTAGAGTGAGTCCTGTTAGTAAGGGGGATTTGGTGGTCCCTGAGCAGCGCTGAGCCCCAGCACACCCTCCCCACGCCCGGCCTCGCTCATACTCCTGTTGCAGACAAATGACAACGGCAGTAAGGAATTTGGAGGCYCTCTAAACTGATTTCTTCAGCAGCCACACCTTTTAATCAGAAGGGGAAATCTAGAGAATTCCAGACCCGTGCAAAGATGCGGGTGCGGAGCCCACGTCTCGGCTGTGCGTGTCTGGTGCCGACTCTGGTGTGGGGGGCTCTGCCCGGCCCAGGGGCACCCCCAGCCTGAGCACGTCCCCTGGCAGATCTGTGTGCTCAACCCTCTGCTCCAGTGGGGAACAGTGGGGAGTTGTAAGGCTCTGGAAGGGAGTAGTTTTTAATCTACACCTCCCGGGGGATCACATCGTGCAGAATAGAGTGTATTTCTGTCAGCTGGGGGAAATCTCCTCTCTTCTTTCAGGCCCTGGAAGAAGCTGTCTCTCTTTAACGGCCGCTTCCAACACCTCTTCTTTTGTTCTCCTTTATTGCTGGGGAATTTCCATTGCTTCAGTGTCCCTCCCCTCGGACAACCTGGGAGAAGTGAGTTTCCTTCAGCAGGGCCAACCTCCGCAGCAGCTGCATTGTTCTGCCTGGGCCCCGGTGGCCGGTGTCAGCCGCTCGCCCCATTGTCCGCTGGTGGCTTCCAGCCGCCCTGCGGGATACGTGACATGGTCCCTGTCAGCGAAAGGCCGAGCCAATATGAGCTGATGGTTTGAGTTACATCTGAGGTCATAAAATAGACCTCAACTGATGAGTATATCCTCAGCAGATTCCCCAGCTGCTACATAAAATTTTGAGTTGATGGTGTGTCTCTTAATAATTCTGAGTTTATTTATAGCGGATGAGAAATGAGCCTTCTACACCAGGTGTATTCTAGAGCAACAGACTCCAWGCTTCTCAGATTCTCCCACCCCACATGACTGACCTTTTGGCCAAGGCCAGCTTCTGAAGGGTCAGAGGACAAAGAAAGAAACCTTGAAAACTCACTTCAGCATTGTRCTTCAGAAGACCATGGCTCAGACTGTGGCAAAATGTCTCAGCTGAGGATGTTGAGAAATTTTTCTAAGACTTCAAATAATTGAAAGTTTTTTAAACTTTTAATCTCTTGTTTTAAAGAACTTATTTTAAAAGGGTGTTTAAAAACCTTAAAACCATTACTTACATTGCTTCTGCCTCTTCTCCCAGTGAGCATCTTTTGTTACAGTTCCTTCAGCAGCAGAATGACTTCAGAAGTTTCTGGCTGCTCTTTCCTACCCCATGCTGCAGTACACAGCCCACTCAGTCCTGAAAAAAACATCATGCATGGAGACTGTGTGCATAGGATCACTGAAATAAACCATGTTAAAAAACAAGGTTATGTTGCATTTCTTTCTGAAAAATTCAGCTCAGTAGTCATAGGGGTCAACTTAGMCATGGAGCAGAACAAAAGCCAGACGTGCTAGCTGAGAATCTGTGGGATTAAGTGGAGACTTGAGAGAGAGCAGACAGTTTTCTGAGTCAGTAGTGCACAGGCAGTGCACTAAGGAACCAGACTGGATAAATTGGTGCAGGTAGTGTCTCAAGATTGATGCTATTAAAATAACTGGAATGTGCTGTAGTGAAGCCCAGTCCTATTCTTTCTGATAAYTATATATGTATTGTGTAATAATAACCCTTATGTGTTACTGGACACTTGTGCTGYGTTTGTTGTTGCATGAGGGGATGAGTTTAAAATTGTTACAGGAAAAGACAGCAGGGCCTAAAGTCTCTTCACTATCTATATTTGCTGATAATTTTTGGAGGGTGTATTGAAATTATGTTATTTTACTATATTTATCTGACCCATTCCTGCCTTTGAAGTGCTCCTTTCATCTGCATTTTATTATATATGTGTCTGAACTCARTATATTATCATGGACTTACTAGGTAGATTCTATATTAACAATTGATAGTACATTGAAATAATTTTGTCTTTAAAGGCTTTTGGATTTATGGGAAATTCATTGTAATAAAACAATGTTTGACTTTTCTTACAAGGTTTAGTTTTCAGGAAAATCTGTATTCCCCGAGAAATGTAGTAAATTGGGATGTTCTTTTACATGCCAAGGGGGGCCAGGGGAGAAGATTGGGTGGTTGTGGGTTTTTTAGGTTTATTTTTGSATGTGGGAAAATGTCATTGTTTACCTGACTAGAAATTCAGTGTCATATTGATTATCCAGCATGAAAAAAAATAATTTCACCCCAGTGAAAGATAGAAAATGTTGGGAACTGTCAAGTGACTGGATAAGGCTCTGCTCTTTTTCTTGTCACAGCTTGTGTTGATTGCAAAGGGAATT